GTTTGTTATGTGTAATGTTTGAGCAGAAAGTTTTCTGAAATGATAATTTTTTATTTTACTAATCCTTTTTTGAAATTTTTGACATTTCTGAAAATTTATTTTGTTTGGTTACTTTCAATTTTTGATTCGTTTTGTAATTTTTATTTTTGAACAAGGTTCACCTTACAAATTATTCCCGTTATTAAGGACTTTGAATGAATTTACAAATACGGCGGCAAAAGTTATGAATACAAAATTGAAGTAATTAATTATGAACATAACATGACAAAAACAATCTAAAGTAAAGCAAAACAATTATGAGTTGGATAACGATTGACTGTACAATGTTTGAAAATACACGTCAATGTAAGCTATAATCGGTAAATCGGTAATATTGAAAGTGCACCAAAAAATGGATAAAATTTTCAGAACTATTACTGAAAACATAATGATTGTTTTAATTTGCATAACTGATTCAGAAAGTCTGCATTTTTAATTTGTATAACTGCGTTTTTGATAGAAAACTAGTTTTCATCACATCAAAAATTTGGGAGTTTTGGAAAACAGATAGAGAGCTAGACAAGTCTGGAGTATGGAAAAGTTTTATTTTATTTTTGTTTTATTTTGTTTTCTTCCAAAAATAATGCAAATAAAACATTAAAAATTAAACATAAAATATTTGATCTATTTGTTAGACTGATTTTCACATACGAATCAGTAAACTAAGTTTTTGATGAAAATGATTTATGCGTACTGAAAATAAACATTAACAAAGTTTTAAGCCTATTGTCCTTTTAAGAATAAATTCTCTTTGAGAGGACTTTCTGTTCAAGTAATTTAAAATTTTGGCTGGATTCACAAAAAATATTTAAATTTTTTTATCAAAAATATATTACAAATATAATCAAAAAGCTCCAAAGCTTATAAAGGAAACTCGTGCAAATTATCGCTTCTCTTAATCAGTTTCGAATTTTAGCGAAACTACCAGGATTTGTTTGCATTTTTACTTTTGATGGGCCAGTGTAAAGAATAAGAAGAAATTTTTTCGTTACATATGCGATAAAAAATAACAATGACATTGTAACGAATAAAAAATTTATATAACTATTAAATATGCAGATTTTTGATAAGTGATACTTACCTGGTTTTTATCAGATCTGATTAAATGTTATAGTTTATTAGCAGCAAAATTTTGAAAGATATATGCTTGCTAAACCAACAAAAATATCCATAATAGTTAAAGCTAATGCGCCACATGCCAGGTAGAAGCTGTAACCTGCCTGACTGTTAATGCTAATCTTCCAATCTTGTGGTACATCAGAGAAATCAATGCCACCTGAAGATTTATTTTTATTCCGCTTATAAATATAAAAAAATATCTGATGCATAATATTTCAAGTTTTTAGTTATCAAAATGCCTAACAGAAATACAATAATTTAATCCAGAAAAATGTTTTTTTTAATTGAACTTCCAATGCTGTTGAACGTAAATTCTTTTAGAAAACTTGTAGAAAATTTTATTAAATGTGAAAATTGCTTTTCCATGAAGTAATTTTTTTTATAAGTTATCTAAAAAATATTAAAAACCAAAGTTTTAATTTTTTCAATAGGAAAAAATTTCAAATTTTTTACCAGAAATTTTAAGCAAAATAACTGAGCAAATTTTTAAATTTGACTCACTATCATGGTTATATCTGTAGACTAATATTTACAAAAATGATCAATGAATAATCTTTCAAGTTTTCACTGAATTAAGCTTCTTTGATATTATGAACCGATGAGACAAGTTTGCTTGGATAGAATATTAAATTTCTTAAAACTTTTTTGCATTTAGCTAATCAAATTTATTCTGAAAAAGTATTCTAGAAAAAATCCTCAGAGATAGCTAATACTGAAGTCAATTTTTCCAACAATTACCGTTTTTTAAATTACAATGTTAAATGATCGGATTTGATACTTTGCAAGGCTCCGTATAAACGATTGCATTCTCTTTTCAATTGGATAAATAATTCTTATCCTCAATAGTTATACAAAATAGTTCATTGTGAAGATCATATATTCAATTATAATTATGCAATTACTTGATTAAAATCGCTTAATTTTTACTACATTGACTCAAATTGTTGAAAGTGAATAATTATTTTTTGAATTCATATCGTAATAATTTGAAAATATTTTAAATTTTGCAAGCAATAAGCATCTATACAAATATTTTAAATTTTCAGAGAAACAAAATATGAATTTTAATGCAAATAAACAAGTGAGAATTTGCACAAATAAAAAGTTCAATTTTCGAAAGTTTTCTTCAATGATTTAAAATTACTTTTTTAATTATTCTATAAGGTCAGAGCTTTTTATTAACTTTTGAAAAGTTTGTTATCCAAAAATTTGTCAGATTTGAAAGTAAATTCTTTTCAGAACAAAATAAATTTGTTGTCGTCAGATATTTGGAATACTAGTGCTATCTTTAAATTAATTTGAAATTGTAAACATGTTGTTTCGAATAATTTTTAACTGATCTGCTATTTTAGTGAAAATTTATCAGGTCAATTGTTAACTTTACTACAAAATATTAACATTAAAGAATAAATGTATAAATTGCATAAAACTTACTTATTGCATCTTGCTGATTGGCTCTGAAAAGTATTATAGCAATTGCAAGAAATATAGTAACAGCTAGAGCAAATACTGGTAATAATTGTGCAAATAATTGTCTACAGCAACAACCAAATATGGTAATTGCTGTCCAAACAACCGCTACCAATTCACCTGCTAATGAGAAGCACATAAATATCACGACTGCTTTTTCCCAGCTTGGTAACTGCTGTAAAAATTACAAAGTCAATTAGCAGTCATAATTTGCTTAAATCTCATATATAACAAATATTGAGATTTATAATGGCAGTAGCGTTTAACTCGTAATTTTGAATTCAAAGTATGAAAGAAAAACTGAACTCATTACAAGAAAGCGAAATTTTACAGCAGCACACTCACTTGATACCACTCTTTACAAAAATCAAAAGAATTTGCGTCAGCATTGACTGTTGTATTGTAATCAGTTGCAGTTTTGCATAAAAAACTAAATATACCAATCTCGGCGGGAAATTTAAAATTTTTCAAATCGTCGGTAATATTATTTGCAGTTTTATTTAATTCATACCAGCCTGAAAAATCGCCTATGAAAATTTAAACTTGTAATTCACTGTTCACTGATAATTTGGTTTTTTTTCTTCAAGTTCTCACTCATACTTTCATAAATAAATTAAATTTGGACTTTTCTGAAATCTGGTGTGCTTAAGGATGATTTTTTTTGGAATGAAACTGAACTATGCTAAAAAATAACTTTTATAAAACTTTTGAAATAAACTGAGAAGAAGAGTAAATATTTTAAAAATTCAAATTTTTACTAGAAAAATTATTACCTTCACGTGAAAACCAAAAACGAAATAAGATTAAGCAGTTGCAGACGAAATAAAAATATTTCAATAAATTTAAGTGCTGACAGAAATTTTATTACTTCAAAATTTGAAGAAAAAAAGTCATTATATTTTAATCGCAGCTATTTTTTTTTTAAATTTTTATTTCTACATTTGAGTGCGAATCGAAATCAAAAAAGACATTAATTCGAAATAAAATCAGAAATCTTAGTTTAGTAAAAAAATTTACCAGGCGAAAACATTGATCCTGCGGTCAATCCAAGGGCGACTAACATTACTGCTCCGTACACAATTTGTCCTGCCAAAGAAAGACACATCCTTGACCCAAACCTTACTTTCGGATTTGCTTAAAAGTCAGCAAATTGAAAACCTATAAGTTTTTTGACAAGAATTAATAAAGTAATACTCCAAATATGAAAAAACACGATATTTCTTTGCAAATAATTAAAAACTAAATGCGATTTCCAAGCAAGAAGTTCAATTTTTTGGTCACAAAACTATAATTAAAATGTTTTAAGATTTCGGAATTCGTAACACAAATTTGAACAATCATATTGGATGATCACGTTGATTTCAATCAACGATTGAAATCAACGTGATAGATTATTTCTAAAAGGAATACTACTTTTTGTGCTCACAATTCATGCATTCATAATATGAAGCGGAAAATAGCTGGATTGATTATGCTTTTTTGTATTTGATAATTTTTAAATTATTTTACTAAAGTTAAGTTATCTTTTCTGCAAATATCTCTAATCTATTGGCCTTTTTAAGTCTAAATTTAACTTTTTATTTTTTAATAAAAATTATAATTTGACTGGGAGATTATATTTGAATTTTATTAAAACCACAATTATATTTATATCTAAAAAGTTTTGCTGTTTACAATAATCTGTTTGATTAATGCGGCATTCTGTGTGACTATTTATGAATATGTGATATTCTTTGTCCAGAATGCCAAATTTTATATGTACACAACAATGATTTCATTGAATTTTGTTTTCAACTTTTTCAGCACAAAAATCTTTCAAGAAATAAAATCAATTTTCTAGTTTTTTATTTGATTACTTTTTTTACTAGAACTAAAAATTTATTTTATTCTAAAACAAATTTAGCTTACACATTTGATGTGATAAAATATGACATTGAAAGCACTGGAATGATAATAGATCCACACAAGTAACTGATGGCAATCACTACGAGTTCATTCCTGTTAATAAATTATGATTGAATCATAGTTCCTGATTCATATTTCTTATCTTTGAATGATGTGATCAAAGTCCTTTGTGTTTCATTGAAATAATGGGGAAAAAATGATTATTTTTTATTTAATATTCTTTGTCTGTGATGACTATTTTTGATCAATGATTTGCAAGAAAGATCAATTTTTTTGCTTTAAAAATCGATAATTTTTTGATATGCTTAAATTAATTAAAGACTGTAACAAACACTTTAATGATTGTCTTAAGTAAACTGTTGCAGAAAATATTCATTGGAAATAATTGCAATATTGGAATTAAATTTATGATAAATAGTCGATAAATTAATACATATACCTTTTTAAATAAATTTTCTGATTTTGAAATAATTTCAGGAGAAAATAAACAGAAGAAATTCAAATACACTTCAGATATTTTATGTAAATTATAAAAATTAAAATTGCTCTACTGGATATAAAATATTGTATTTAAATACGCAGCAAAATATAAACATTTTTCAACTAAATTAAAAATTAGAATTATCAAAAATAACATTATTGACCAATGAATGCAATACTGGAAAACAAGGAAGACAAATTCTAACTTGCAGATAAATTTTAACTTTTCATCATTTTTATAAATTGAGATCTGTTCATTGAATCAACGATTTTGTACTCTAACATAGAATAATTAAAAAATATAAAATTTGTATTAGAAAAGTTGAAATTAAAATTTATCTTGTTTGTTTTTAAAAATTTTCATGCGTATAAAAATTGGAAAATTTTTAGTCTTGTAATGGTTAATCTTGCTTGAGCACAAACAAATAATCCTCTCAAAAGCACTTCTTTAAAAAATTTTTTTTTAAATTAACAAACTACTGAGATTTTTAAAATTTTTGATTCTTTATCAGCAAAGATAAATAAACATTGTGCAAACTATAGACGCCTTACACAAGTATCCTTCTATATATGATTCATAATGAGACGATTAAGTAAATAGCGATTATAACTTCTTTAATTGCAATCGTGTTGTAAAGCATTTGTAATGTACAAATCACGTCATTACCAACTGATAATGTCTTATGATTTGCACTGATAAAAAATAGAATTATCAGTTCAGAATATTAAAATTATGATCAGTGCTTAAATGCAGTTCTGTAATAATAATTAAGGGTGGGGACGCGAGATAGCATTACAGCGCTATTAAAAAATTACAAGTTCCTTAACTAAGTATATATTCTTAAATAAGAGCAGAGAATGAGATTAATTCAAGTATTTGCTTATATTACTCTAAGTCATATAGCCGTGAATTGCATATCATATTATTTCTGATAAAGGTTCAGGCAATCACTTGTAGTAAAATGCCTTGATTATTTGATCAGAGAATTTATTTTCTGGCTTGAAAATGAAAAAAGAAAGTATTTGAAAAATAACGAATTCGCAGCTGCTATAGCAACAAAAAGTTCTCAGTTAGTATTAAACAACAGTAAATGGAAACGTCTTTGGATTATGTCTCTTTAATCAGATTTTTTGTTATTAATAAAATTCCTTGCAAGTATTAATAAAAATTACTTACTGATTAATTGTGTGCAGTTTGCATTGGTTATTAAGCCATTTCTAGTCATATTTATAAAAATAAAAAAGCATTTATTTGTAATTTAGCAATCTTTTCAAAGCGTCACAACTAAAAATTGCTTAATAATCAAATGCAAACTTATTATTGAGCAATTTGTAGTTATACTTTAGTAGTAAAGGTTAGCATACGAACTTTTGTTGTATAGCTAAAAGTTGACAACTAATTGGCAAGCATACTAAAAATTAGCATTATTTATTGATATTATTGCTATGACAATTAAAAATTTGCTAAACATTAGTTTTAGTGATAAATAAGTCATTAAATATATAATTTCCGATAATAAGATGTGAT